TCCGTTCGTCGTCGGTTCGTCGGTCGTCGTCGTACGTAGTAGGTACGGTACGTACGACGAGTGTGTGTGTGTGTGTGTGTGTGTGTGTGTGTGTGTGTGTGTGTGTGTGTGTGTGTGTGTGTGTGTGTGTGTGTGTGTGTGTGTGTGTGTGTGTGTGTGTGTGTGTGTGTGTGCGTGCGTACTTGCGCGCGTGTGTGTGTGCGTGCGTACTTGCGTGCATGTGTGTGTGCGCGTGCGTGCGTCCGCGCGCGCGTGTGTGTGTGCAACTGTACAAGTAACAAGTACAACACAAGTAACAGCTTCTCGTATGCGTGCTAGATATCTGTAGGGTATCTACGTATAATAGTAAATAAAATATATAGGCGTATCTGACTGATAAAGCTGGAAATATGTAAGATCGTACGCGATGCCTTTTGACGTATCTTTAAACGAAATATAACTACATCTTGCCTAAGCGAGACAGACGAATCACGGACGATATCAATGAACTCGATATATTTCATTTACTTAGAGCACCTAAAACTAGCGCATGGGGATGTCAGGGCTTTAGGCAAGAACCCCATTGAACCTACTAGTACACACTAGAGCTCTAAAGCAGAGCGTGTTACGGTAATCAAGCGGAAGAAAATGGACTCTCAACTTTTGTATCGTGTATATCTTGTAGATCGCCTTAGGAAACACCGAGCCGACAGCTATTGTATCAGAACTTCAGCTATTTTGCTTTTATTTCAGTTAGTATTCAAACCTTATCGTAGTGTGTACATATAAAAAAGTAAAAGTGTTAACCGAAAAAAAACTCCGTGCAATCCCGTCTTGCGTTCTACGTTTCTTTACGTTGTTGTAATAGTTTCTAGACGTTTCTAGTTCGACACGACGGTCGATTCGGATTATGTAGGTCAGGAGTGTTACACGGTGTGGCATTTTGATGAGGAGAAACCACCGTGATATAGACAAAAGCTAGCAATTTCCCGCATATTATGTACCGGCACGAGTTCTGCGGCATGCATATATGGAGCGATTTCCCTCATGTGTTCTGAAGTGCGCGCGAGAATTCACGAGATGCAATCTCACGTGTTCTTTGTGTTCAATTGAAAAGTGTTACAAAAACAATGCGAATCGGCGAAGAAGTAGCAAAGCTATTATCATCATCTAAAACGTTCTATACTTACGGTCGCATTTAGCGTCGACAGGCCACACGCACGTTTGTTTTTTGACATTAAAATGCAATCCGGGTTGGCAGTGACGAAGTATAATCCGTGGTTTGCACAGGTAGTATCGAGCACAGCTGTCCGGATCCGGTTCGTGCGTGTGTCCAGACGAGCACAGCGTAGCGTTGCCAACCTCGAATTCACCTGTTTCATAATTAACATAAAACAATAATAAACAATCCGTTTTAATCGAACGAAACGGTCCGTTTGGTGTTTGGCTTTAATGGACCGTAACATAAGAGCTGATACTAGTTCGTTGTAACGCCATGTAGCTGATAGTCGTTGGACGTTTGCTGTTCTGGTTCCACGGATGCCACACTTCTGCAGGTATTACACGAAGGCCGAGACCTGGCATCATTTCTTTCACCATTCCAAACTATAAAGCTTGAACTTTTACCAAAATGTTCGTTTGCTATACTAATAAAAAACGACCGCGGGTAACTGTAACTACTTCTCAATCACTTGGTCATCAAACCGATACGATTTGACGTATTTTCACAGTACACACATCAACTGTACCTGCGGCTGTCCTTGTCAGTACTCCCAGGACGCAAATCAGGACAACCTGATCTAGCGTTCCACATCTCGATACCATACCGGCATCACCCGGACGACGACGACGAGCAGTGCACGATCTCGTTAGTAGCATATCTCGTGATTCAACCGCGCATACATACGACAATCATTCTCGTTGATTTATTTCTCATCTACCCCGTTAAGAGCGGCTACGACGACGAATAAACTGCTCGGTTGAATCACATGGGGTAGACTGACCATCTAGCTATAAAGGTATTCGCCAAAAGGCATTGCTCTATATAGCGGTATATCTCGCGTACCGACATGGTCAGGATCTCCCCTGAATATTAAACAAGACAGTGCTCGATGCCCGTGCATTGCGTGTTGACTTACGTTAGGGCGTCTATGTACACTTGAATCCAAGCGTACATGCCACTACATGCGCATGATATAGCAACAAGTGTACGTGCCTTGCGAGTATAAATTCCTGCGTACCTCGCGCGTACAAAATCCCCGTAGGCATTGTTGTATATACCTTCTTAATTATTCATATATTCCATAAATGTAGGATCAGAATGTAGAAGTATTGTCTGCGGAACGTTAAACTGCGATTTATTCGCTCACAACTGACTTTATATTTCCTTCATAAAGCGCATTTTAGTTTCAACAACTAGACTACGAAAAAGTACACTTGGTGCATGCTGCATGAATAATTAGCCAAAATTTAGATTTAGTCTAACCTAGTGTCTAACGAAAGGAAGATATGATCGGACTGTAAGGAAGATCGCTATCCATCACACGTCCATTACGCACATTAATTTATTCATGCGAATCACCGTAACTTTCTAACGGCAGCGTGCTATTTGTACATCTCCACCCCGTCCAACTAATGAAAAGATTTAGTAGGGCGCATCCAAACGCAGCGTGCGAGATTAAAATAATTTTCCCATTAGAACATTTATTACAAACTATATTGGGCTGACTCGTTCGTAACTAACCATAGACTATAATGTTAGGCAAGCATAAATCAACGGCCGCATGACATTTTATTGTGTGATAGATCCTATCTATTCCTATATAGGCTTACGCTTTATGGTCCTCATTCAGTGATATCCGTGATAGGATAATTCCGTTAAGGAATGCGACTAAGGCGGATTTTCTTCTCACGTCCGTGATTACTACACGAAGACGTACATACTCGGCATTTATTGCTCTAAAAATCGAAATCATCGAAAGTAAGTGCGCTGTGCACAATCTCTCTAGTGATCTAATCCCATCGTTGTCGAAGATCGAGATTTATCGTGGTATTGAACTCGACCTCATTCCGCGTCATGCGTGTCGCCTTACCGCAGTCGCTGTGTTCGTCCGAAGCATCGAGACAGTGAACAACGCCGTCACATTCGTTTCGGCTCTCGATGCACTGTTCGCCAACGTGGCAAGCGAACTCCTCAGGGCCACACCTCGCAGTTCCACGAAATCTTCTCGCTTCGATCTGCCGCCTTGGCGCTTGCACTCTCCCCACAAGCGAGCCAAGGGCATCTGCGAATTAAACGCAGTACGGAAATTAATTCATTATGATTATGAATGTGTGCATATTATAATGATTGTGACATAATGTAATCTACTAGTAAATGTTATCGTTACATTGTGGTTCTTCCACAAGGAGAGGAAATACATAGGAAAACATACGTATATGCATATAATCAGAAGTAGATAATAGGGATTTAGGGGATTCCCTATTATCTACTTCTGATATAATGATCGTGACAAAATGTATTTCCTCTCCTTGTGAAAGAGAGAGAGAGAGAGAGCGAGAGAGAGAGAGAGAAGAAGAGAGAGAGAGGAGAGAGAGAGAGAGAGAGAGAGAGAGAGAGAGAGAGAGAGAGAGAGAGAGAGAGAGAGAGAGAGAGAGAGAGAGTAGTAGTAGTACGTACGTACGTACGTTACGTTACGTTACTACTTACGTACTACGTACGTACGTACGTACGTACGTACGTACGTACGTACGACGAC